TAACAACTTGAAATTATTATTTATAAAATGTTCTGGTATTTAAAATTACAAATAAAAATCTATATTTTTTAATATAGGTACTTATTGTAATATTGAAATTCACTATTWTCTAATAATCATATAGGTAAATTCTTAAATCACATTTGAAGTATTAACTTACATTATTATTAAGTACATTTAATCATTATAGTTGCTTTTTGATGCAACGATTTATCATTACTTTTAAATTAAAAATGGAATGTAATACGTCTGCCCTCGAATGATCTACTTTAATCAGTGTGACYTATTAAACGTACGATTAATGCCCGGTTTTTTTAAATTATATTCATCTAACTTTATACTATTTACTTGTACACTATAAAGTTACCCTCGTTGCATATTAAATATAAGTTATAACATTAAATATTAAATTCGAATAATTAAATTGGTAATGCCATTGTAGAACAAAATATTGATGAATATTGATCACTCGAAAATATTGCTTATTTTATAGTATAATTTCAGTAAAATAATAACCGATAAAAATATTGTACTTTTTAGATATAAAATAAATAATTTTTAAAATATTTGAGTGCTAATAAAATATAAATTGTGTTGAATKTATAAAATCATTGTAACTATATACTACCTATTTTCATTCATAACTTTAAATATACTATTTTTAAATTTAATTAAAATATATTGTTTTGAAACATTTATGATGATAAGGCTAAATATACTGTAAACGAACATGTAATGGAAAAAGTTGTTGAAAATAGAATAATATTTTTGCTATCTACACTTTTTGATTCATATAAATTTAAAATACGAAGTTAAAAAATTATTTCGAGTATGATAATATTTATGATCATGAATACGATGCTGTTTTAAATTAAGTAAAGCGTTCTAATAATCTTCAATCCATTAGTAAATGAAATTTAATACTCATCCACAAATGTAATTTTAAAACAAAACTGTAAAGGTATAGAATTACTGTACCAATATATGATTTTACTAAATAATAATAATAATAATAATATATATTATACGATAAGTTTTCTATGTTTATTATTTACAACTATTCAATTTCTAAAATTGGAATATTTACATGATTGGTTTTTTTCATATTTCATAAATAAATTTTATAATGCAATATCAGATACTTATATAAATATTATGTTATGTAAAAACTGTATTTTCAAAGGTTTATAAACAAAATATGCTTATASCTACTTAATACAATTTTTTCACAGATAATATGAAATGAATATTATTAGTTGTGTTGTGCTTAGAAGTATATTTAATTACATTGTTTAGATCAGCGGTTCCCAACCTTTTTGAGACTATTACCCATAAGTCAGGTTAGATATTTACAAATACCCCCCGACACAAAAAAGTATTGAGTAAAAAAAAAAAAAAAACAAAACAAAATATATATTATTACAATTTTATTTACAGTCATAATACACATGTGTAAATGGATAATAAGTACTTAAAATACAAATAAATAGTTTAACTTTTACCCTCAAAAAAATGTGTTTTTACCCCTTAGGGGGTATTTATTCTAAATATAATTGGAATGTCTTTTGTTGAACATTATCAAATTTTAAACTAGATTATATTATTTTTATATCTAGCGACTTATTATTGCCTATTGTGAATAAAAATATACCAGAATATCATGAGATTTTAGAATTTAATGTTAGTACCTAATAAAACCCACATGCAACATAACACAATTTAACATTCATTTCAACCTTTTTTGAAGAATTCAATAACAGTACAACTAACAAAAAATATTTATATAAAAAGTAATACAAATTATTTTATACGAAAATGATGATTTATGACGAAAATGAATATACGTAATTCACCAGTTTATATTGTATTGTTTATTTGTTAGTTATTATTTTATAAAAAAGTTCATACATTCATTCTATGATAGATTTCTGCTTAAAAAAATATTTATGACACTGATATATCACATTATCGTTAGCTATCGTATTTATGACAGTTTGTTTTTAAAATTATGATAATTTATATTTGTAAGGGATCAATTTGTTTAACATAAAAAGAAATGTTTTGAAATGTGAAGTAATCGGTAGATAAACATTTGATAATAGAGATGATAAAAAGGTTCTAATTGGTAATAAAATATTTTTATTTATTATTATTAATTAAATTAAATTTTTTATCTTATTTATTAAAATGAATAACCAATGAATAGTAAATATTACGTACGAATTAACTCTATTTAAAACGAAATATTATTATTGTTATCAGTCAAGTTAAATGCACTGAAATAAATTAAATCTTGCGAAAAAATTATATTTTTAGGCATTTAGGCTTAAGCCATATAACTTAAATCAAAAATTAAATGTTATAAGTTTAATAATAAATTCTAATCAACATTTGTGTATATAATCGGATTTAATAATACATTATACAGCAGTTAGACCCCTTATATTTATCTATGCATCTTAATATAATCGAGTTTAATCGAATTTATTYTTTTAAGTCTAATAAAACAATTTACATTTTTCTGGCTTAGCTTAGTTTGTACACAATGTTTTTTTCTAATTTTTCATGACAAGTATTTCTTAATGGACAATTGGCTGGGGCACAAATTTAATAAAACATATTATTACAACACATGYATATTTCATATTTTAGTCACAAACTTAATGTAATATGAAAATTAATTTATGTTTATAAATTAAGATGAATAAAACATAAATATTTTTTGTATATTGATTAATATTTCAAATCTAGTTGATGATGCATAATACTGAATTGTTTAAATTAAAATATTTAGCTTTTAACTAAAAATTATATTTGTCCATTGTTACTTTAATATTCAGTATGATAATGATTAAGAATGGTTTTTTATTCA